GCGGCGGCATCTACACAGATACTCACTCTCAGAGCCCCGCACACAGACACCGTGCACGAAGGCCAGGTGCACATGTGAGACCTGGCTCATGAGGCTGGCCGTCTCGAAGAATGCCTGCAGGCACAGGACAGAGATCAGGACAGGATCCACAGGGAGAGAGGCACCCCCCTGCTGCCTCCCTGCCACCCCATACCCCACCCTGTGCCCTATGCTTGCTCACCAGTGCAATGTCCCTGTGGCTTGGGTCCAGCATCTTGAGCACCACACGCAGCTCCTGCCCATTGTTATTCGGCTCAGGGGGGAAGGGCTCAGCCTCGTCATTGGCTCCCACGCCCCCGCACACGTGCAGCAGCCCCTCATAGATGTTGGTGCGTGTGCCCTGCCCCAGATGCGCCCTCTGTGGGAGATGCCTGTGAGTGCCAGGCTGGACATGGCCCCCCTCCCCTTCACCGACATTCTGCAGTAGAGCCTCACCCAATGGCTATAGGTGCCCTTCAGGTGCCTCCCTCCCAGCCCAGGCCGTGTCTCCCAGCTCCCTCAGCCTCTTCCACTGAGAGGCCAATCTGCATCCCACAGAAACACATGCCCCCACCTATGCTGTCTGGACTCCCCGCAAACCCTGCAGCCACCTACCAGGTGGAGGTGAGAAGGGGCATCCACCCACCTGGGTGATCTCATCCTTGCGGATCTGGTGGAAGCGCAGCTGGGTCAAGTTCAGCATGGGCTTGGCACCGGCCTTCACCTTCCGTGTGATGATCAGGTCTGAAATCTCTGTAGGTGAGAGAGTGCCCCTCAGCCTTGTGACTCTGTATCTTCCCCCGCCCATGTCAGTGAGAAGCCCAGGGGCAGAGATCAGGCCGCATCCCCAGTGCCCACCCCATGGCCTCCTGACTCCTACCTCCCGGCTTGGGTGGGCAGCAACGGCACACGGTGAAGTTCTCATTGCCCGACTTGAGGGTGCAACCCTTGAGTGTGTCCAAGAGCTGGCGCACAGAGAGGAAAGCCCGGTCCCAGCCCTCCAACACAAAGGTGTCGCCCTTCTGCTGGATCCGGAACTGCCTGTGCTGCAAGGAGGCCTGTGTCCCAGAGCCCTGGAATAGGCAGATGGGGGCAGGGCCAGGCATCAAGGGCTGAGTCAAAACCCCACCAGGTGGTAGGAGGTAGCGTTGAACCTCAGTTGCCTTGCCTGGGCAGCCACAGCTGAGCTGGCAGCCGTGAGCACCAGGGTACCCAGCTGGAAAGCAAGCAGACCCCCTACCCCCCGCAGCTCCCTCCCAAAGGGAACAGGGGGGCAACCACCAGCTGTACACGGCTCAGTCCTAAGGAGATCGGCCCTCCCCATGCAGCCAGCAGCTCAGGGGCGTGAACCTCAGCCCCAAGGATGCCTGGCTCCCAGCTGACCCACCACATGAAGCCCAGAGGCTTGTCCCAGGGGCTCACAGCAGCTGCTGGCTGGGATATGCAGCCTGAAGGTGAGCCTGAGAACTACAGGACAAAGTTTCTAGTCCCCAGTACATGGCAGGCTCAGGCCGAGGCCAGATGAGGGAGAGCCAAGTTCTAGAGACTAGCAGCAACCACAGCATGACAGCTCAGGGTAACACCCCTCAGTACCCTGCTACAGGGCTGAGCTTGGCTTTGCAGAAGACAGAGCCCAGGGAGCTGGGACCAGCATAACTCTCCCTACCTCCACTTCCTGTGCTAGCACCAGGCCCATATTCCGGTCACCTAGAGGCCCCACAACCCATGGTCAGCCTGGGCCAGGGTGAGGCAGCCGAACCAGCAGCTGGGGCAGAGACCCCACACCTGGGAATCCCTGGTCTCACCTGGGGGCAGCTCCTTTTAGCCACCAACAGGATCATTCTGTCGAAGTCCATGACACTCCAGCGCAGCACATACAGCCCATCCTCCAGTGGCTCCTGCCGCAGCTTGGCCAGCACGAACTCCTCCCTGGGGCACAGAAAAAGAGCAAGGGAGATGCGTCTCACAGGCCCTGGCGGCTGCTCTAGCTCCAGCACCACATGGGGCTCTGGGCCATGCCTGTTCCTGGCCCCGGCACTCACCCCCTGCCCCTGCTAGCAGGAAGCAGCCACTTACTGCATGGGGCCATGGATGCCATGGAGGATGCTCATGACTAGGCGAGGGGGGGCCACCTCATGGCAGAGATAGTGGCTGGCATCAGCTGTGAGCCGGAAGTAGCCATCCACCAGTGACACCAGGGACAGGGCGACCTCAGGTGATGGCAGCACCAGCTCCTAGGGGGATGTGTGGGGGGGACAGGGGTGTTGGCTGGCAGGAGTGCTCAGGTCTGAGGGCCCTGCCAAGTTACAGCCATTGCATGGGGCTGGGTCCCCTGGCAGCAACTCCCACAGTCCCCCACGAGGGTCAGATAGAGATAGAGCTGTGGCAGAGCCAGGGCACTGCGAGCTTGGAATCTACCCTGTGCACACTGCATGCACCCAGCATCACATAAAAACATGCATATACAAATGTCCACAGCAGCCACAGCTGTGACTGCATCTTGCTGCTCCTCCATTCTGGGGTAACCGATGCAGAAGGAACTGACTGCCCTGGGGGTGCTGGGTGGAGCTGGGAGAGAACCAGGTGTCTGGGCTCCCAACCCTCTTGGTTCTCACTCCCAGCCCCCACCCCCCTCCCACAGCAAGGACAGAACCCAGGTATCTGGGCTCTCAGACCTCTCAGCTCTTACCCACCAGTCCCCAAAACCCTGCCCAGAACAGGGAGGGAACCCAGGTGTCCAGGGTCCAGCCTCCCACCAGACCCCACTCCCCTCTCCCATGAAAGGGATAGAACCCAGGCATCTCGGCTCTTGGTGGCCAGCCCCACCACTCCTCCCCTGGCAGAATATGAAGAGTAAATTAGGGGCATTGGGGACCGGCACCCACTAGGCACTGGTTGTCCTGGCGGTGGATGCCAACACAGGCACCGGTGAGGACGACGTGTGTGATCTCCTGGAAGTCGCAGAACTGCACCCACTTGGGCTTGTTGTGCTCAGCCAGGGTAGGGGGTTCCCGGGAACCTGGCTCCTTGCTCCTGCCCTTCCGCCCAAAGTAGCCCCGGTGTGGGGGACTCTCTGTCACCTGAGGGGCCAGAACGTGGCTGGGTCACCATCATGGCCCCCCACATTGGGTCCTGCCCTCCCCTCCGTCTTACAGCTCCTAGATGTCTCCTTCTCGCAGGGGGCTAGGCTATATTGTCTGCAGGCCTGGGAAAGCAGGAGGGCCCAGGGGAGGTGGGAGGGACACACCCATGGTTCACACCAGCAGTGAAGCTCCATAGGCCGCACCAAGGACCCTTCTGCAGCCAGGGGTGGAAGGGAGAGGGCTGGGGTCCCCACACACTACCTCTCTGTGTCCCCCTGCCTGGGGAACCCTGCCCTGTTCCAAGTGAACATCGGCGCTAGCTTGAGGCAGGGCTGAGAGAGGCAGGTGTCTGTGGGGGGACTAGCATGGGGTGGCACCTACCTCAACAGGCACAGGCCGCCACCGGATGCCATCAGCGCCAGTGACGAGGACCTCGTGGGTGGGCAAGCAGTCACCATGTGGGGGGGCATCCACAGGCATGGGGGGCTCCCCATTGACATATAGTGGGGTCCGGTCATCCTCACGGGAAGTGTCGAGGGCAAGAACAGGATAAAGCTCGGCACCAAAGCGGGGCGCCAGGCTCTCCAATGTAGCCAAATATTTGTACATGACACCCTGCTCTGTCAGCCGTCCAGCACCCACTGTGTGCCGCTGGAAATGCTGCACGAACCTCCGGAAGACGCTGCGCAGCCGCAGGCGGGTCAAGGAGCTGCTCTGCTGGATCTGCCGGCGGAAGGACCACGGGATGCAGTCCTTGAAGCTGTTGGGGAGGGGGCAAAGCCTGTGAGTATGGCCATCAGGCCATGGCCTTGAACCTAGGACCTTGGCCTATCTGGAAGCACTGCTACCTGTCCTGGTCTACCACCTCTTCAGCAGTTCACTGGGCAGATGAGGGGCCAGCTGACCCTTCACACCTTTCAAAAGAAACCCCCGAGCTAGAAGAGGAAGTATCTGGGCAGCAAGGCTCAACCTGGTATAAAGGCTGCTGCACCCTCTTTGTGCTGCTCCTGGTTCCAACGGATTCTCTAGCTACCTGGCCTCACTTGCTCATGGGCCCCAAGTCTGGCCTGACCCTCCAGTTCCCTGACTCAATGGACTTGATCTTCTGGCAACTTGACCTGGCTGCCTCCTGACGCCACGCTCAGTCCAACCCTTTGGGGTTGCTGACTTGGTTCCCCAGACAGATCTTCTCTACACAGACTCTGCATATTCCCCTCAGGTCCTGGCTGCTTCTCCTGACCCTGGGTGACCCCCAGGCCGGGCTGCCCATGGCCTGGCACCACAGCAGCTCCAGCAACACCATGTACGACAGGGAGGACCACGGCCATGGCAGAGGGGGTGCAGGGTGGGACAGCTCAGGCCAGACACCTGCTGCAGCCATGGCTCTAACTCACCAGCCCCTACACTGTGCCTAGGGTGGGCCTGGGCTCCGTGACCAGCAGCTGGAACCCCTCCCCTCCCCTCCCCTCCGTTATGCATCACTATGGGAAAGCAACGTGAGGTTCACGTAGCAGCAGGACTGAGCATAGAACCCAGGAGACCAGGCTCCCACCCCACCCCAACCCTGTGCTTCCCCCCAGACAGGGAGTGAGTTGGGCAGCCTGGCTTGTGTGCATGTGTGCTCTAACCCCTAGGCAATCCCCTGGTCAGGCGGGGACTCTGACACTGAGCTGGACTGCACTGAGATCTGCTGCCCCACCCTTCCAGGTGGCTGATCCCAGCGCAGAGCCCATGCAGAGGGAGCACAGAAGACATGGCCATGATCAGGCCCATGCAGGCTCCACCTCAGAGGCAGCTACAGACTCTAGCCATGGGGTGGAGGGGAGGTAGGAGGAGAAGGAAGAAAGGCTGGGCCCCAGGCACTGACCTGCACTTCTTGGCTGCCTCCTCAAGGGAGAGGCCACGGCGGAGGGCAAGGTGGGAGAGGTGCAGCACAGCCATGCCCAGGCTCTCGTTCTTGAAACGATGAAGGTCCTGCTCAGTTGCCAGGTCCTGCAGCGATGCTACATCATTCACGAATTCGAACTTCCCCTGCCAGGGGCCATGCAATCATAATCAGGTGGACTTGCTTCCCCCACCCATACTGAGGCCTTCCTCACAGGGGAATGGGAGTGCCTGCAAGGACCAAGTCCTGGCCTCCTGCTAGTGTGAGGCAAGGGGGGCAGATACAGGTGTGCTGGCTCCTAGGGCCCAGCCTGACCTGTTGGAAGCCTGAGCCCTGGGAGCAGGGGCTGCTGGCACATACTGTGGGAGAGGGGCAGGAGCTGGGAGCAGGGTGACAGCCTCATCTATGGAAAGCAACAGCCACATCCAAAGGCCAAACCCCCCCAGCTTGAACCCTTTGGGGCCTGTAGCCCTGGCCCAAACCCCTCCTGGCCCCACCTGCTCAAAGAGGTACTCAAAGGAGGCACGGTCCAGCAGCGCACTACCAGGCGAGCGCTCATCAGGGCCATTGCTGTGGCGCGGAGCACTGCGATACACAGCTGGCTCCTTCTCGCTCAGTCCATGCCAGTTGCGAAAGTAGAACCTACCAACAGAGGATAGTGGGGTGGTGTGAGGTATAGATGCTGTAGGGCCCTGGCAGGCTAGTGCCAGTGCCGGAACTCACCCTAACTATATTGCTCGCCCCAGATACCCAGCAAGGGAGAGAAGCTATAGCTGCAGCAAGCTCTGATCTCCCGCTGTGCTTAGGGCCTGAGACTCCAACCAGCTGTGCTCCTGTACCCCAGAGGGCACATGGCAAGAAGCATGGGCCCCTCCACCCACAGGCAGCTGTAGCTGGGTCTGGGGAAGCCAGGGGGGCTGGTGACAGCCCTCATGCCTCTCTCCTACTGCCACAAGCAGCTCTTCATGGAGGTGTTCACAGGGCAGCTGTAACAGGCTGAGCTTGGCAGTGCCTGCATTCCAGAGGGGAGGCTCTGAGCCAGGGCTGGCAACTCCTTCCTCATCCCCATGGTGCACAGTGTACCCCTGTGGGTCTTGACTAACAGCAATGCACATTGTGCTGCAGTTGTCCCCAGCCCTTCTGAGTCCCTCCCTGCTCTGCTTTGGGGCCTCGGCCTGGGCAGCTCAGACACCATACCAGATTTGCCCAAGGTCCCTGCTGCTGCCCCAACCCCCCTGCCCACCTCATGCGGAAGAGCAGGCTGAGGCTGGTGTCCTTGCTGATCTCAAAAATGTGGTTGGGTGGGAACCAGAGCCGGGCCTGGGGGTCATAGAGTGCAAAGAGGCTGTAGCACAGTGGTGTGATGCCTGTGGGAGTGAGACAGCGCCGTCAGCCATCCCCACGGACCACCACTCCTCATATCCCCCC